AAAGCGTTCATTAATCCCGTTTGGACTAAGAGTGCCCAATAGGTGAATAAGTCGCATTTCTTTGGTCTTGCGACAATCATTGTTGCCTTTAATCAAAGAAAGACCGAAAACAACATTTCTATCATTACTATATCAATTTAATTTTAAATAGTTTCAGCAAAAAAGAAAATATACCAGAAAAAAATGCAGACAAAGTTTGGGAAAATTCCATATTGTTTAGACCTTAGGCTGATCTCATTCACATTGAATTGTCCATAGTGCATTCTGGGCTTTGTATGCAGCATGCAACAAAAAACCTTCACCATCAATTTGCTGTAATCAGAAGTGATGATTGTATTCATAGATGTATATATTTGCAACAAGTGATTGATTGTATCAGTAGATGATGAAGCCCTTTTGGGTTCGCTGATGAAGGCATGTCCTCATGAAAGTCAAGCACTAGATAGTGTCTGATACTGGTCGCATCACACACCATAAACCTTTTTCACTCACACTTTATTGTATTTATTAATAATCTGATTATTTAATCTTTAATACCAGGGCATTCAAAAATCTCATGTCACTGGACGGCATTAGCAATCATATCTGTCAGCTATCCAACAAGTGTGATATTACAGCATTGTTACAAGTTTTACTGCCACAGTTAGCGTCTGCAGTGATCAAAGAATGTCTTCCAGCTGAAGATTCCTCCAAGGATAGTCGTTTTGCTGATTGTTTGTATACTTTGGCTAAACAACTTGAAATGGAGAAGTCCTTGGTTAAACTGTTTGCCAGGTAATGAAATAATAAGAATAAATAGTGCTTATGAAGTGCATTGTATTACTTCAATGTGCTATGCTAATAACAAAAAATAAATTGTGTAGAAAAGTATATAGAAAGCACTACTCATGCTGGATATAAGTCTGTTGTCTATTACTTTTATTCATAATGCTATTATTGATTGTTTTTATTTGTTTCCTCTTAGGTCTGTGCTTATTGAATACTGTAAAGCAAGAAATGACATGTCTGATGACCCAGCACATGTTAAAAAACTGAATAAATGTTTAAAATTACTAGCACAGTTTTTAGAAAAAAGGTGAGCTACAGTAGTAACTTAATGTGATAATAAATTAAGGCTGTTTTAATTATCTGATAATGCCCACAACTTCTAGATGTCTTGGTTTTTGGCTTCTGTCAATCAAAGGTTAATCAATTCATTGTGTTATGGTCACCAAGAAGTTTGGACATTGTTCTCGGATTTCCGCACAAATATACTGAATTTTAAGCAAATTATTTACTAGGTTTGTTTAGTTAGCTCTCTAAATACAAGCAAAACATCATTTCTCTAACTCAGGGTTTGTGCTACTCCTTAAACTCCTTGAAAACTCCTTGAATTTAATTCACGTTTTCAAGGGCACTTGAAAAGTCCTTGAATTTTACAATTTTAGCAAAACTCCTTGAATTTTTTGCTTTGATCAATACTTGCATGGTTCTGAAATAGATCTAGTCAGAAAGATTGGAAAATCTGAAAGTCAGCCATGTGTAAAACCTTGGCATAGCTAAGAATCTGAATATACTCCTTGAAAATTCATTTTTGGGTCCTTGTATACTCCTTGAATAGTCCTTCAATTTTAAGTGGTTACCTCAGCACGATCCCTGCTTACTGGATTGAGGATTTTCTTTCTGCTGTTTAGAAAAGTAACTAAAGAAATCGATCTGAATTTTCTTTTTGAATTCAATAAATTTGTATTTGAATCTGAGAACGATTTCTGAAGTTTTTTGTGACCGTAACGCAATCCAACACATTTTGGGCCAGTGCTCAAAATGTGAATTCAGACTAGAGTAATATATCCTTACCACCTTGGCACTATTGTGTTGTATATCTGTAGTTATTGTTGCTAAGCTACAGGGATAAACAGGAGTGCAAGATTGAAAGGGGGATTATTAGCAGCCAAATATAATATATCAATGTTTTGCTGTCAGTCAACTCCCAAATATGATATTTTTAATGATGAGGTTAGGTTAAAAAGCTAGCAAGGAAGTATACAATAATTTTAAAGTGCTCATAAGCCTTTGCACAATATTTTCAGAATTGATACTTTAGATAGTGGATAGTTGATTGTGAAAACATTTCGTCATTTGAATGTCGGGTCTTTAAGATACGAAGAWTTATATTCCCAATATGTTAATGACTATGACGTAACATAAGGGATCATTTAGTATACAACACTGCACTCATTCTGGAATACAGTAATTTAAAAGCATCACTTTTTTACTCGTGACTCACGTAAAGGTTCTTACAAATTTGTTTTCAAAAAATGTCCAGCGTTCAATATTAAAAGTTGCCACAAAATAACTCAAATCCCTTATGCTACGTCAGTCATTAACATATTGGAAATATAAACCTTCGTATTTCAAAGACCCGACATTCAAATGACGAATTATTTTCACAATCAACTATTCACTATTTAAAGAATCAATTCTGAAAATATTGCGTAAAGGCTTATAAGCACTTTAAATTTGTCACTAGTTGAAAGGAAAACTCTGAACAAATCAAAAAAAGTTTTCCTTTTAGCTAGTGACAAATGTAACATTATTCTATAATACTTTTACGTGCCAAAGAGGTGTAATCATTTCAATATCTTGCTTAAGGTATTACACAGGATCACCAAGTTATTAACTATTGACTATAATGCATTGATTCAGATACCCAATAGAATTAGAAACTGCACTAGAGGAATACCTTGACGGGCTAAAGTCAAGTCTAGAAGGAGAATCAGAAGAGACTGTCTATCAGTATTCACAGTGGACTCTGGAGTTCATGTCACTGGCTCTCTCAGGATGCAAATCCAAGGTATGGGAAACTTACTTTCATTAAAACATTGTGTCTCAAATTATGTCAAATCTTGTCTCATTCCTCTCAAATCAACCCTAAATAATTCAAACTGGTTAGAGCTGTGCATCGGGGTCATACATGGACTGTAAAGTGGCTGCCAAAGGCGCCTTTGAAATTCACATGATTACAGTTTGACCCCATTCAACTGTGCCATGGTTATACTTTGTGAGAGTGTTTAGCTATGACATATTTTAAAAGATTCATTTGGCTGATTGATACCAATCAATAGAATACTGTCTTAATGATTAATAGCACATTGTAGGCTGATATTGAGATTCATTCAGCTGATTGATTCCAAGCAATGATATCTGGAGGCTGCCTAGGTAGTTAGAAATCATGATTATTAATGATTATTTTTTCATTATTCCATTGAAGGTTATTCCTGATTCAAGTGCTTCATTGATGCTCAGTCTTCATCATCCGAAAAGTGATGTTCGTCATTTGGCCGTCAAGCATCTTCATGACTTGATAATGAGTGACAAGGTAGGACACAGTTCTCTACTTGAGAGGAAAATAGACCCTTTTCCAGTTCTAAATTACCGCTGTGTTTCTTGATTACAGACTTATTTGCACAGGGTTAGCCTCGATCTTGTGAAGAATATTCATGTGTTCCAGTCAAGGTCCGTCAAGTTTCAAAGTGTTCGTATTGTTGAAGTTGTGCATTCTTTACTTTACCGTTGGTATTTGCGAGTAATTAGACACTGATTTGACAAGAAACACAGCGGTAATTTGAAACTTGAAACTGGACTATTTACGTGCTCCATTCATGTGCTGTTTTAAAGTTATGCATAAGAGGAAGCACATATGTAGTGCTTGTCCACAATCCATTGAATCATACACATTCATAGTGTTGTGTTTCTGTCTAAGTAAATGATGATATATGTGTTCCCCGTGTTTGATGGTCACTGGCCTCATGATATGGACAACACAGAGTATTATACATCTATCTGATACCTTTGACAGAAAACATACAAAAAATGTCTTTATAACTTAGACTAACTTCCGAACTTTCGAACTTTCCATTCACCGAACTCATTAAAAACAATGGATATCAGGTGATAATGAGGCGGCATTCTTTGATGTAATTAAGTTCGGTGCATGGAAAGTTTGATGTTTGCGCTAGGCCTTACTCAACAATGAAAAAAAGCATTAAACCATCATTGCATTGACTATCTTTGTAGGTATCCCAGGACGATGAGGAGTTTATCAGTGGAGCACTATTAGCTCGTCTCAGTGATGAAGACCTCTCTGTGGTAGATAGTGTGTTGAATATGGACAAGGTATGTCAAAATATTGGAGCAATTTATTTTATTATGATTGACTAGTTTATGGGCTTCCTGTGTATTGCAAAACCACAGGTAACCCACATAATGCTTCACATGTGTAATGCTACTCATTGGTTAGCACTCGTTCACCCTTTGAGTGTCGAACAAATGAACAAATCTATTGTGTTACTGCCTCATTCTATTGTTTAATAATTCAATAGGTCTGTTCGGCAGATGTGAATGAGAGCTAACCACAAACAACTTTGGGTAGCATGGGTGGCATTTGCGGCTAGTCCATCGGGTCCGGTTGCTGGTTCGAGCCCTGTGGTCGTCACATGTGAATTGAGTTTGTTTGACGTGTTGTGCTCTCCTATGCTACTAGGGTTTTCTCTGGGTTCTCCAGTTTCCTCCCTCCGTAAAAATCAACATGTGAGTTGAGCATTGTGTGCATAGAATATTGAATGTAGTGGTAGTGCGTGTGAGCGAAAAGTGTCCCCAATTAGTGCTAAAGATTTAGAACGACTAGACACTTAAATAATAAAAAAGTGATTGATAGAACATGTTTATGCTAATGTTTGATTGTTCTTATTCGTTTAGGTTCTTTTAAAGTTCCTGCCTCATGATCAGCTAGTTGAAAAGTTGTTAGGAATACTAGAGACAGGAGAATGGTATGAGATGAAGCATTAGGCTTACTGTCTTTATTCGATCTTTCATTAATCTATTCATTCATTCATTGTCTTGTTAATTATCTCATTTGTTCTTTTATTCATTTGCTCATCCATTCATTATCTCACTCACTCACATCATTTATAATCTGATTCTATTTTTTATTTATTCATTCGTTTATTCATTCATTATCTCATTCACTCATTTATTCATTTATTATCCAATTTTATTTTTCATTTATTCATTTGTTTATTCATTCATTATCTCATTCACACATTTATTCATTTATTATCCAATTCTATTTTTCATTTATTCATTCATCCACATTTCATTCAGTCGCATTTGATCACATTCAAATGCAAATTTGCACCATATAAGTTATATATTCTGTTGTTCACTCATTCTTTTCTTAGATTTTTCATTCATTCACCCATTCGTTCATTAATTGTCACATTTACTCATTTATTCCTTTTGTTGTTTATCTTACCTCCATTAGTCTTCTTTGTCCACAATCCATTGAATCTTACTCATTCATTTTTTTTCTGTCTAAGTAAATGATGATATATGTGTTCCCCGTGTTTGATGGTTACTGGCCTCATGATATGGACAACACAGAGTATTATACATCTATCTGATACCTTTGACAGAAAACATACAAAACATTTCTTCATAACTTAGACCATCATACATTTGCTGGACTCAGACAAAAAGACTAATGTCTAGAATGTCAGTAATTTTATAGACTGTTTTAAACAGTATTTAAGCTTCTTTCTTACCAACCCAGCAGTCTCAACTAGTAATCACTAGTTATTTGTTTACTGGACAGTTAAAAATGTGCTGCACCTGGGGTATCTTGGAGTAACCTTGGACACAGGAACATGGATAGTACTTGGGTATTGACTTCATGTTTTATTTAGGAATGAGCATTGTGATAAGGCTGTTTCACTACTGAGCTGTTCTGAGTTGGTGGATGATAACCCTATGTTGGTGGACAGAGTGGTGTATGGTCTGTTGCCATTGTTGTTCGTTAATCAGAAGAATCATAAACAGACTGTGGTGTTGGCAAGGAAACTGTCATGGACAGGATTGACTGAAGCACATTATATGTTGAAGCACATGAAGTCTTTTGTGAAAAAGAAAGGTTAGTGCTTTGATATTGATGTGTGATGATAATGAGTGTTATTAAAGATGATGGTGGTGATGATGACAGATGATGGTGATGATGATAGATGATGGTGATGATGATAGATGATGGTGATGATGATAGATGATGGTGATAATGATAGCTGATGGTGATGATGATAGATGATGATGATGATAGATGATGGTGATAATGATAGATGATGTTTATGATGATAGATGATGATGGTGATGATGACAAATGATGGTGATATGATGGTTATGATGATGGATGATGGTGATAATGATAGATGATGTTTATGATGATAGATGATGGTGATGATTACAGCTGATGATGGCAATGATGATGGTGATGATGACAGATGATGGTGATGATGACAGATGGTGATGATGACAGATGATGGTAATATTGATAGATGATGTTTATGATGATAGATGATGGTGATGATGACAGATGATGGTGATGATGACTGACAGTGATTGATAATGATGGTTATGATGACAGATGATGATAGTTTTGGTGTTGATGGTGATGATGATGATTGATAACAGATGATGAATGACAATCATGGTCATTGAAGAATACTGATATAGTTCAACCATGTGATATTGCTGAAACAATGATCTTATTGTTCAACAGAATGGAAATCCTGTGAGACATCTTCTGATCCTGAAGTCCTTGCGGCTGGCAACAGGATGCTCTTCAGCTGGTTGGGTGAAAACTTGGCCAGTGTACCAAAAAAAGACTTACTAGACAAGGTAAGATGATAAAACATTATTGGGGAGCATGGTTGAGTAACTGTACCTGGCAATAGTCCGCTTCAATCTTGAAAGGTTGTCATGACTTTGCCATCCAGTTAGCACAGTTGGTTGAGCATCAGACTTTTGTGCGGGAGGTCGTGGTTCAAGCCTTGGCCGGACCAAAACTCAGGGCTCAAATAACTGATGAGAAGGTGCTGCCTGTAATTACATTGTCTAACAGTATTTATGGTATTTTATTGTCTCAGGTAGCAGTATTATCAAAATATTGCACAGATCAGTCTTCAAACAACATGTTTACCATGATTGTAAACTGCATCCTCGGCAAGCTGGTAACCATGACAACTGTTACTGAGAGGCTGGATGTATTTGAGGTTGTGTTACAATTGTTACTTGGAAGCTTGGAAAATGTAGACAAACAAAAAGAATCAAGGAATACAGCAAAGGTTAGGCATCTGTCTGCTTCAATTGAAAAGGTTTAAAATAATGGCTATTCAGTTGCTGGTCATGGTCATCAGCCAGATTAGTTTTACCTCAATCTTACCTTGTTTCTGAGGTTTGATTGAGCAAAGCAAAGATTTGACTGAGAAAAACAAAGATGTGACTAAGAAAAGCAGAGATTCTGGTTGGACATTGTCCACTGACCAGCCATTATTTTAATCCCTGTTGTGTAATAATGTTCATAACGATTTGCACAGTCGGCACAAGTATTGGTCACATTATATCAACCACTTGTTTAAAAATCAAACCCTGTGCTACAGAAATACCCACTTTGCAACCCTCATTCATGCCTTGGTTTTGTATGAGTTACTCATTAGTGGGAACATCTTCGTTGTGAAGGCCATAAGCTAGATAACCATTGGCCTATTGCACCCAGTAAGCATGCTTTTGATGCTTACACCACCTCTTGCTATTACTGAACCAGTTAATTCTAATAACAATTATTGTTTATTGACAATTTGTAAATTTGCTTTTGAAGGATGGAGAGTCAGAACTCAAACAAGAAGGTGTTTCTCTGGAAGGCATTGTCCCATCACAATTGATTTCAGCACTTTTAACCTGCATGACCAAAAAGAAAAAGAAACGAACTGAGGCTGCTAAGTCGTCTATTAACCTATGGTTGCTAGGCAACTTCATCAGGAGTTTGAAAGTAAACAGCGTGGCATTCAAAGGTAAGAGATCTCGTCAAGACATGAAGTCATTCCCTAGAGATCATTTATCTGTTTCTTGGTTACGCATGAGAAGACAGATGAATATGAATACAACTCAAACAAAGAATCTTATTCCCAAGAGAATAACACATAACCTGAAATGGGAAAACATTATGCCCAAGCCTAAGAATGAAGTCTATCTATTGTCAAGACCGACCAAAATTACTCTAGGTATTATGTGCTGACAAAACAATTTTGTTTCAGGTGTTTGGTGGAACAGTGAAAAGTCTGTAGACTCGACAAGATACACAAAGGTACTGTACTGTATATGCAACTGTCTTACCAAAATAATAGTGAATGGCAACCATGTGGTAGGGTAGGAACGATGAATTACTCTTGGTTTACGAGAGATAAATATTTATTTAGTTTCTAACAGTGTTTTAATTGCTGTCAGAGTCCAGTCATAGTTTTTGTGGACCCCTTACAAGAGCCATTGACAGTGTCTTCTATCTCTTCAAAAATATTGGATGTTTTTAATGACCTCATGTCATCATTCTCAACAACAAAATATTTTCATTTATTACATTCTCACAGGGGAATAAATGGGATTCCCAAATTGGGAATTTGTTGGGAATTTCCTTGAATTCCCATCCAATTCCCATCCAATTCCCAGAGAGAACGAAATTGGGAATGTGGCACTGATTCCCAATGTTAGTTTGTTGGGAATTTTGTTTTTCATGTGGAGCATAGCCCTGAAGATGACCAATATGGCCAACACCTGATAATCATCAACCCATAAACATAGTAGATATGAAATCTTGACTCATTGGTCTTAATTCTTTCACACATGTGTTTATTTGTCAAAGAACCAGTGCTAATTTGTTTAACTAAGACTTAATGATATATCTATAATTTCAGATTCTACTATTGTTATTTAATGTATTGGTACATGGTGCATGTGTGGGAAAACCAACAGCTCACCAGGCTACCTTCAAACAGTTGCTACAAGAGTTGATTCAGGTAAACAGAGGTAGTAGCCATGTTGTTGTTGGTCTTACTGATGGTGATGATTAAGGTGATGTTTGAAGTGGTGATGATGATATTGACAATAGTATCTGTGCCGATGATGATGGTGATGATGATGATGCAGAATGATGATATTGATAATAGTATCTGTGTCAATGATGATGATGATGATAATGATGATGATGCATAGTGATGATATTGATAATAGTATCTGTGTCAATGATGATGGTGATGATGATGCATATTGATAATAATGGTGTGGTGATGAAGATGATGTTGATGATCATAATAATGATGATAGTGATGTTGATTGATGATGGTGGTGATGATGATGATGATGCATAATGATAATAATGGTTGTGGTGGTGATGAAGATGATCATAATAATAATGATAGTGATGTTAATTGATGATAATGGCGATAATGACAATATTGATGAAGTAGTATAGGGAATGGGGGTTCCAGCGCAATCTCAACACGGGCAAGACCCGTGTCAAAAATCCACCTACGGACGACCCCCACTCCAAGTGTGGTTGAGGGCAACAGCGCACTTAAATATGTTAGTCTATATATGGAGTGCGAAGAATGCAAGAGAACTTTTAAGAAAGAAGCGGATTTGAAAAAGCATTTGAAAATGAAGACGAAGTGTATGAGCAGTTATGATTGTGGATGTGGTAAGAAGTT